ACTACTATTATGATCGTTGTTGTTATAGCTGAGAGCACATGGCGGCATCGGCGGCCTGTCAGGACATCGTCTCCTATCTCTGATTTCTCTCACTCACTCACTGTGGCCTTGTTGTCCTCCTGTACCGAAGAACCCGGGGCTCAGCATTTTGCCAGTTTGTCCTGACTGTCTATCCCCCGCTGTACCTCCACCATCCCTCATTAGTCTCAGAGTTCTCTCTCTCTTTTTCTCTCTCTCTCTCTCTCCATACGATATATATATATTTAATATATATATATATATAATTATCCATAAATTTAAGTTGTCGTCCTTCGGTAGCTCAAAGAACAGGAATCAATCAATGGAGTAGTATACTAGAAGTGTGAAGTAGAAAAACAAACAATAGCACTACCGATTATACTAGGAGTAGTTCCGTATTAAGGGTACATTAAAAATACATGTGATATAGAACATCACTATAATATTTTTTTTTTCTATAGTTACAATTTAATTTCTAGATAGGATTAGATTTAGATCACGTGTATTTCTAATGAATTAGGTAAAAAAGGGAGCTATATGAAGATGTCTTCTCGTATGAACGCGTACATACGGAGAAGTCTACAGATGGCGACACTTGTTTAAGCCATATACAGTCATATATGTATGTTACATAGGATTAAATGAGCGTTTTTTGCAATTAATTATGTGCTGTGCGTACCATAATAAGCATTTCTAGTCAAATTATAGACCTCAATTACATCTACAAACACTACGTTTCGTAAATTGAGTATATTTAAATATACGTAGAACTGTGATATATTCGTAATCTATAATTTTTGCATTGTGCACTCCGTTGTAAAATGGAAAAATAGGTATCAGGCCAGAAAGTACCTGAAATATACGAGTTACGAGTCTAATTCCGCACGTGCGTCTATCGGCCTCACGTGTTATATATAATAGTTTGTTTGTAGTTCGCCACTGGAGGAAACAATGAGCTTCTTGTGCCATGTAAAAAGATTAGTTAAAAACAGTAAGGATTAGTACATACAGATCTTTGTCCATTTCTAAACAGCTTAGTTTCGGCGTGGACACTTTTGAATGCTACGCTCCAAGGAACAGCAGACGATGCGCAGCTATCGCGTCTGAGAGACTATCAAATGCATTTAACTATTATAACCGCTTGTAGATAAAAAGCTAAGGTTCCAGGAGGTAGACGGCTTCTGGAGCGACCACTGCTGCTCCAATGGCAATCGGAATCTATCAGGTTTGACAACCTAACAAAACCTTAAATGGTGATCATTTTCGACTAACTCTCTGGTCGCGTCCGAGTTCTACATATATTGAACGAGAAAGCGGCGAACGGACTAGGCTGGATGATTCCACCATTCACTTATAACTGTAGCTGATCGACAAGGTAATCTCATCGTAAACCTAACCTATTTCAAAAATCTGACTTAGAAAAAACAGTCGTATCAGACATTATTATTAATATAACCATTGTATTTCTAGTTTTTTGGTATATGTATACAATTTACAGCTTCGTTCATTACTGCCTAATTGTGTCCTTTGTTTACGCTTCTGCTCCGATTACCATGTATAGGTTATAGTTATGGCAACCTGAAGCTTGCCTAATTAGAGGCAGATACTCTTATCGATGTCCAGGTAAACGTTAATAAAAATAGAAAAAGAAGGTCTCATCGGAGCTACAATGAGAGGACAAATACAAACTATAATCTGGCAGAAGCATCAGGAAAAGAGGAATAATCTTTACCGCTGTCGAGACCGTCGGCTGATGGTCCCATAACCTTTCTGCTTCTTAACTTTCGTTTATATAGCAGACACTTATCGTTTGTCTTTTCCCTTCTGTTATACATGCCATGCTTGTTTTTATATTACTGCTGTTACACTATCGTACCGCAAGCAGCACCAGTTGAACTGACGACTCGTAAGCCATTGTTTCGTAATATTAATCGAAACTATATATTACAGCCGGCATATTAATATTATGTCACATAGTATGCACGGGCATAGGGTGTTTGCAAAGCGACGCAACCCCACAGGAGATAATCGAACTTTCGTAGTCTGTTTTTTCTTTGTTTGCTTCTCAGACAGACGCTTTCATATGAATTTAAATTCGTTTAGAAACTCCAAAGGGAAAAGAGGAATATACATCGGACGTCGTAAAGGAGGGCCACGTTTGAATTATGAAAATGGCAAAATGTACGCTCCATGCATAGTTCCTAGAAAGATATGTTTATAACCCTAGCGTGCACATGCTTATCAAGGAAAGGAATTTGTCGCGTCCCAAATTCTCGGCGCTGGAACATAAGTCAGGCGTTTAGACAAGGGTACGCGCCTCATCGCCAGCTGTGTAGAGATATGGGCGAATTAGGACACTCATTAACCTGCTAGAGGCCATGCTCTATGAAGTCGCCCATAATAATGTCTTTGCCCATCCCACACGGAAAGTCGTAAACACGGTACCATTATTTTGTACTAATAAATATAAAAATAAATAAAATAAATACGATACGTGAGTCTTTCCGTTGACGAGAGTTGCTAGATTGCATAACATCGAACAGGTGGCACATACCTGCGAATCTAAGCGAATATGGTTTGACATAATATCAAAGGTTTAAGTATCGATAAAGGCTGCACTCTGCAACATCTGCCACCTCGGCGGATCACTCAGCAGCCGCTCACAGATCCTCTATGCCAGATTTGCTGGCGCCGACGTCTAAAGTGGCCGTTCATTTTGACGAGCCTTGTATTGCTGGGCTGGATCGTAGAGTAATACAATATCAGGGGTGTGAGTCTGACAACACAAGAGTGTTCGATATTTATGCCAGGTGCACGAACGCCAGAAATCGATGTGGAACAAAAAAACGCTTTCGCTAGTTTTGCGTGGACTTGGGATTCTATGCGAAATAAAAGCAGATCCCTATGCAGCCGATTATCGATAGTAGCGAAAATAATACGTCATCTCATTTCAGCCGTACCTACAGGTATGTACAATACATGAAGTAAAAAATCCAAAAAAGCTCATATCTAACAATAACGGGAATAATATCAAATTAATGATTAAATAAATAAAGCGTTAAAAATAACATAAATATAGCAAAAAGCACCAATAGAAGAGAAGGAAGAGGACAGGAAAGTGATCATTTCGTTAACAATGATCGTAGACGGGAAAACCGCGCGACTCTTCGCCGATTACGAATTCAGGTCAGAATTACATCGGTCACACGACTTTGTTCTTGGCCGGTCCGCCGGAGAGTTACCAGCCTAGCTATTAGCTACCGCTGATGTCTACCCGGACTCGAGCTTTCATCATCGTCGTTGCGGTCGTAAGCGTAGTCGTCATAATTGCCGCCGCCGCCGTCGTCGTCGTTGTGCGGTAGCACGTGCGTGTATGTGGGCGTGTAATGGGAAAAGCCATCATCGCTTTTGTTATTGTTATCCACGCGTCTTCATCATTTTGACCACATAGCCTATTTAGATGGTAATCATACATACATAGATAGTAGCAGTAGAGGAACGTGTCTAGCGCCGTATAGCCATATTATGCACATACATACGTACTACATGTTCGCTCGCGAGGAGTAAAGCGGAGCGGGGCAGAGTTCGCACGCGTACCGTCGCCCTCCGTTGCTTTGTTGGACGCCGCCAGCCGCAAGAGCAGGATCGTATGAATGTCGTTATTGCCACCGTTAGCTACGACTGAAAGAATGACGACTTTTGACGCAACCTGACAAAAAGACTGTCGCGCGTTCGACGACTCACCTATTATCATCAGAGAAAAAAAAACGGGTTTCCAGGTGACGACAACAACAACAACAGCAGCGGCAGCAGCAACGAGAAAATGTCAAACGATTGGGGGCGAAACGGCGAGGGGAAAATAACTACTGCTACATATGTTTATCTTGTTACTGAATCATAATGAAACCCGAACGAGGGTATCATTAGCAAAACCATATGGGATTTGTTATGAGCTTTACAATTATCAAATAGGCTGAAAGACACTATCCATCGGCCACGGAACAGACCTAAACAGACGCATTAGGTATAACAAGTATAGAAAGGAATGACCTTAAGTAGGAATAAGTAGTAAGTGCAGATTTTAGGTCGTAGAAAAAAATCTCATTGAAGCCTACGTACTGGTTTTTAACAGCTTGCTTAAAGCAAGCACTTTATAACACTTGAGATTTTTTCATCAGTCCAAGTACAGCCAACTTTAAAATCTTTTCTAGGTTTTCGATGTTCGGCAGCTGATTCCTAAGCGTCAAGCGAAAAGTTGTGAACTTAGTAAATCAGATACTTTAAAATGTACGTTAGATCCTAAGCAGATAAATTAGCCGCTAATATATAGTGATTTTGAGTATCTTCCGTTGAAGAGAATCACTGTAATTCAGTCGATCTTAAACAGAAATTATGGATGGTGGTCGCGTTTTCTTCTTCATCTGAGACACGAGCTCTAATCGATTGCTTAAGAAGTAAAAAAAAGTGGTAATACCTACCTAAAAGTCGAATGTGAGGCAAAGAAGGTTTTAAGCAATATATCTGCGCCTATGATCTGAAGCAGTATGCTTATGATACGGACAACAGATGATGTACATCTTAACACGAAGTTTACGATCCAGGCTTAATAAGTCATTTTTGCCACCAGGCGAGTCTGAGTAGGGACAAACCTAAATCGGGGAGCAAATCTTACTGATTTAAGGACGAACATGATATTATATAATTGTAACATCCAACCCAACGCCTGGAACGCGAGGTCGTACACCAATGCATATATGATCAGGAAAAAATGTTTGTGGCATAAGGGAGCTGGCAGTCGTTGATTCGCTCGACGTTATTATAACAATCTGTGCTATGATTGCCTAAAAAGTACTCTTTAGAGGATATACTGCAGAAAATTTGCTCAGCTATTGCACAACACCATGTTACAGAAGACGTGTGCCCTAACATTTATATACATAGGTCGTTGAATTAGCCTATAAAGCACCGCTTGAAGTAGATTACTAGAAAATCTCCCTATTCTCCGAGAAGAAGAAAGGGAGAGAAAGTATTTAAATTACTTAAAAGTACTTAAATTAGACGTTAGATACGATTACGTTCGAATGAAGTTTACTAATACCATTATGATAAATACGAATATCATCTTCTAAGGGGACATGGTACGCGGAAGAGAAGACCTCAACAATGTCGTGAGAGATAGGGACAGGTTGTTGCGTCCAGTTAACTGTCCTGAAGCTCATGGGTCGAATTGGACGGCGTTACTGGACAATGGGTGCTTGTGGCTTCTACATACTGAAATCATTCGTCTTTTTCGGTCGTGCGTGATTCTTCTTCCCAAAGGCGGATACGTTGCGGTTATAGCTGGCGGGTAGAAAAGGATTCCCATCTCCGTCAATCAGTCGCAAAAAACAGTTTGACAGCAGCAACGGGAGATATCCGACAGACGAACGTCCACATACCCCCTCGACCGCTCACCCCCTTCCGTTAATGTTATCGGCTGCTGCAAGATGGCCGCCGGGCCCGACCATTTTAGACCTGGCTTGGTTCTGTTTCCCGAAAAAAAAATAACGAAACGTGCATATTTTAGAACGACGGTATGCGGCGGGCGGAGTACAGTTAAGAGAGAAAAACTGGTATCGACTGCAACCAAGTCGTATAAATGCGACCATGCCGGTGAGAAGAATCTTTGAAACAAATGTGAATCATATCATAAATAATAGAGAAATCTTTAGGTTGAATTGTGATAATGCCACGTATACCCTGCTGCGGCCGAAAAGAAGACGTTAAAATTTAAATATTGCGCATTTCAGTTAAGTGATACGGATAATTCAAAGCTGTCCCGTGTTTTACTTTGTGAAATGATGTGTATGCGCCGATACGGCTGACGTGAAGCCCACATCTATATTGAACGGTAGGCAATCAGAGATTTTAAACGCTCTATGATTAAGACTGATACTCCGTCCATCATAATTCCGAGGCGGAATATTTTGCAACAAGCGAAACAGGGAATATTAACGACGAGAATGTTAAAACTAATGTTGTTCGAATTTTAACTTAGCTCACCTAGTAACCTAAGTAAATATAGCCAACCTGAACTAAAACGTAATGACTTTCATATGAGGTGTCCTCATCGAAAATGGAAAATCGACATAGAAGAGCGGGTGGCCATCCATCCGACTTTTGCCGACGGCGTTCCCAGCCTGCGAATTAGCGTTAAAGCCCCCAGAGTTCCAAGGCTACAGTGGGCAAATGGCACACCTTGCTAAGTAACCTTACCGTACTCATACGGGCCGTATATACGACACTGAAGCCTACGCGACATCAAGTAGATCGAATCTAACCGTCTGGTCATGCGCACGACTTTAGGCGATGTCATAATCTTATTATAATAAGTATCAAAATCAAATCACCGGTCAATATATACGGAAGTGCTCCATCCGAGCTTAGTCAAAGAAATCCACAGCAGGGATACGACAGGTTAAACAAGGTTAAACAAGGTTAAAGGGTAGAACGCTTGTCGTGGTATTCACATTTTTTCCACATTATTTATTCTGTAATTAGCGGCGAGTTTTATTACAGAAAAAAAACTACGCTTTGCAGGCGCATCTAATTTCAGTTAATATAGAAAGAACATGTTTGACCATTATGTCACGCTGTTCTAACACATCGCTGCTTGTCGAACGTCCGACAGTTAGCGTGGAGAGCATCTGGTGCCAATAAAGCCTACCTTTGACCTGCTGTCAGGTCCACAAAGAAAGGCTACAGTAAAAATCCTAATAACATACTACTGATTACAACCTAAATGCTAAGGCTGATCAATCAGAGAACTCTACCTACATCTGTATCTGAGCGTTCGATTTGTTTCTGCCGCTGTAAGTGGTAGTGGCGATTAAAAGCCTACTTCTTCCTAAATTCTCTAAGGAAATAAGTTGTAACAAGCAAACTGGGTCGCTTTCCTAAAAGTGTCGCGATTCTTTTGTGGCCGACAGGCTAAAGCTGGCAGCCAGGACAACTAGTCTCTTTCTTTCATCCCTCAATATAGAGAGCGCGTAATTTGGAAGCTGCTAAGTATCTGTGTAGCGCCGCTTTAGTGCCGCAGTGTTGTTCGATAAGTCAATTTCTCTGTGCCTCCTTCCAGCCAGCAAGCACAAATAGGGTTACAGTAATCAACTAGCCAGTGAGGATTGATAGCACGATGTGTCGTTGGCGGCGACCGTCGCATCGGTTGGGATACGCGTAAAGCATTCGAAAGCTTAGGTCGAGCCAAATATGAGTGGAATCTTGTGGTAGTCTTTAAAATGTAGCACAGCGAGCGTTCAGTCGACGCTCAGCTTAACATATTGTATTCATAGACGATAACTACGCGAAACAGCATTCCACTATCTGGTTGTATATTCCTCCCCTTTTTGTGCTTTAATCAGCCTATGTCATCCTGTACACCTACCTACAAAAGTGAAAAGTTACGGAAATTGTTCTTCCACCGGGGCTGTAACGCTTCTCTTTAAGAGAATGTTAACAGGCTCAAAACGCAATCTTCGCTATGTATTTCGTTTAGCATGCCTGTAGATGGCAATAATCTCTTGCCCTAGTACGGAGTCTGTCAGTTGCCCCGTGGTCTGATAGAAAAGATTGTTCTGTTCACCTGAATGCCCGCCTGCTAGTCCTTGAGCCTACTTTCTAATAGTCGTTCTAATATAAGCGAGCTGCCGGCAAGGGCGTCTCCGTCAGAGATAATACGATACGTTGGCGATCGGCGATGAATAGTTATACTTCTAAGGTTGCGTATAAGGCATAGCCTCTAATCTCTGAATTCGATACGCTAACGCGCTCCTATACGACGGCAGGATTACCTGTTATATACAGTAATAACTGACAAACGAACCGTACCGTTCGTGGCTTCTGGGCTAGCTATACGGCTATATATATATATATATATATAGCTATACGGCAATGCTTTTTTCCAATTCGGATTCAGCTAGCGAATCTAAGTACTTATGTGCGTTGTGCTGTCATGTCCACGAGGGGCTGGATACGCCATAAACCGGAAAATAGTGGCAAAAAGGACGCAAGCCTTATTGAGATTTGATTTTGAAGTAGATCATTTACGACTTTAGATTATTACGACTAACGTGTAACTAGCATATTCTGAAAAACTTGCCCATATGTATGTAGGCTGCAATAATACTGAATAAGACTAAGCGAATACAGCCTTCCAATTCTATAGCCTTCTAGGAATGATATGTTCATCCTTTACATTAATACTCGTCAGAGGTCCCTATGAGAAGATGACCTGAATCCTCGCTGAGGTGTGTCTGTTTGAATGATCAAAGTCTCTGTCCCAAGCAGTTTGAGGAGACCTAGGTTTAAAGCTAGCGCGTGAGATAAATTGGATTCTTGCTGTTGGGAAATTTACTTTTTTCTCGCGTGCAATCGTTCTGAAATAACTATTATTGTATACGGTCTACAGACGAAAGGAATTTAGGTGGGAAGAAAATTGCGTATATCATCATGTCAAACGAAAATACGCTATCGGAAACAGTGGAGGAGATGCTATTATACCGCTAGCTTTTTTCCTTCGATAGAGTAACTTCCGCGGCGGCTGACGTGAGACCTTTACCGCCATCCGGGGTTTCGGAGAGGGCCATTGGGCTATTTTGCTCATGCCTCTAGTCGAACACTTAGTTGGCTGCCTGGCTGATAGCTAGCACGATGTGCTAGGTGCTTTTAACGGCCCCGTTTCACAGTTCCTGTGAAATTTGCCATTTTTCGTCTGTGTAATAGATTTCTACAGGCAACCTGAAGAACCCAACGTGAACTGAAGAAAGGATAATTATTCCAACACCGGTCCGTGCTGTGAAGTAAAAGTAGTGAGGGGTGGTTGCGCCTAGCGTTGGTCACAAAAGGGTACTACAGAGACCTTCTCAAGGTTGAGAGGCATTGATAGGATTTTTTTCGTGCGCCGTTGTTGACGTCGTTTCTGCTACAACTCCAAGAAGCGACAGTAACGGCAGCAACGATGAAAGTGGACAAGGCAACGACGACGCTGGTAGTGAGCGAGCGGCGAGCGTATGTTAGTTACGGAAGGCAGAGCATGCCGGTTGTCTGTTGTGAGAAGCCTACTCTCCTTCACGAGTCGTTCAAAAAGGCACGTCAGACATGCTACGAGGAAATAGGCGCAATTGGCTTATGTAGAGGGCTAAATCGTGCGTGTGGGAATGCAAAACGTAAGCCGCTACAATGCGAGCAATGGATATATTGGGCAAAGAACCGCATCTCTATTGCTCCATAGCAGTATAGCCGATGCGAGTAATACCTACGAATTACGCTGCTTCTTGTGCTGGCTACATCGCAGTATGAATAATGTGGGTGCTAAAGCGTTCCGCGAAATAACCCTGGTGGCAGCGGCGAAGGCAGTGGGTTGCGTGGTAAAAAAACGGTTGGTTATCACACAGCCCACTAGTTTTTATCCAGCAAGAAAAATATGCGAGAATAACCTGGAATCGTGGACGAAACGGTCACGATGAGAACGCAGATGAGGTCTACCTGCAACAGTCTAGCGGTTACACTTTGCAAGCTGTTATCATCTTGCCATTTCTAATTTCTCAGAAAGGCACAGAATAAGCAACTAGCTTGACACTTGTTGCTAATGCTTGTCAAGCTAGAAATCATGTGTTTGCCATTGTTTTATGATGTGAGCCAATACGACCAATCAACAGTCCTTTGTTAATACTTCGTTACTTTCCGTTCCTATACTAGCAGTTCTTACCGTCTCAAGCGACTATTATAACTAGCGTCATTTCAAATGTTCAACGTACATCACCTCGGACTATTAACGCCGAATTACCAGCTCGCGTCACCAAGAACGACTTTTCGCTTGCTAGTTAAACCCACTCATTTAATAGCGAAATAACCCAGACGGAAAGAAAGCCACTGCTGTAACATCGTGGTAGTCATTGGGTTGCGATTGTTGATATCGATGCCGGTGCGCATATTCCAAGATAAGGTAAAGCACGTCCCCGTTGCCGCTGCTGCTGCTAGTGTCGTCACTTCCGTCAGTGGGATCGATAGGTTGAAATGGTGGCAAGGCAAAAGCGAACGCAGACCTATTTCCCTTGATGGCTCTATTCCTGAGACGCCGACATTTTGAGGGCACGCTGGCAAATTGATGCTGACTACGTCTAGTCAGGGCCCTCTTCGTAACAACGGTCGCCGTTAGAACGTCGCCTCTATAGTCATTTAAATATTTAACTTCTGGGACAGCTTATTCACGCACACATGTGCGGTTATTGAGGAGCTTTGAATTAACTGAGGAAGATAATTTAGTCTCCACTGAAAGGGTCGAAGCCCAAGTAAGGTTCGCGACAAACAATAAGAAACTATATTTTGGTAGTATCGTAAGGCTATTTGTGTTTTGCCATGAAGTTTAGAGGTGTTACGACCAAGTTAACAGAAATCGTCAGTGGTTGACAAGAGGCTCAGAACACGCAGAGAATATGAGAGGGCTGAAATGTGCACCAACGCAAAAGAATCATCTCGCCTTTCGAGGTGAACCCGATAAATACAACGTGTGTCAACGACGGTAGTAAAGTTAGGGACCACTGTGGGAGCCACGTAGCTATACGTGGAGCATGAAATATCTGAGGGTCCATAGAGCGAAGTGACTGATCTCTACTGAAGTGTCGATCTACGAAAACACGAAGTGAAAAACACGCTCATTTGAGCTTATTGAGGTAAAATTTGTTGATAGGAGTTATTATTTCTTTAGTGACACTGTACTAACCTGAGTAATTAGTAGACCCCGACGCGTCAATTGGCGACTTCCGGTCTTAGCACACAATTTTTCGGTCTGTAAGATTGGGATAGCTAGCCTATCGTTTGCGCAGGATTTTGCGCAGCTTTCCCATCCATAGTCCGTCTACCCCAATCTTTCGAATTTCACATCTCTACGGCACTCGGTCAGACCCACTAAGCTATCACGGATATGGTACCCCTACCACCACATGGTCGAAGACCTTCGTCTATAGTTATGTTTCATTTAAAACCGATATGTTATATTAGAGTGCTACGACATGACTGTCACTCGTAGCTAGTCACATCAGTGACTAAATCCTAAGTCCATTCAAACGGCCCCCGAAGCATTTAAACGTAACCTTTTGCCGATAATAAACCATCAATAAGCATGCCAGAGCGACCAGTTTTCGTACTGCACAAATGCTTATTAGACTATAATATCATCTCGGGAGGATTTCGCTCTAGGAAGCAAACATTTATAAGAGCTCCAATACAAGTCCAAGGTAAAATAGACGTAGATGAAATACTATCGGATGGGAATATCCGGTGACCCTAAACGTCCATACGCGAAATCTCTGTTTACAACCGTAAAAGTATTACGTAAAAGCTATTTTAGGTAGCACTTTTTAGTACCCATATAGTGTGCATATGTTATAAACAATGAAATTCCCTGGCCATAGCAGAAAACGTCTTAGCAAAATGACATAAAAGTTGATTTTACTTAGTCGAAGAATATATATTTACGCTCATTAGTACCACTCATTTGCGTTGTCCTTTTCTTTGAAGAAAGAGCTCATACAGGTCGTATAGTATGAAACAACCGACTTTATCAATTGCCTTCGTGGAGTATGAGAATAAAAGTAATGCGGGCACCACTAAATTATAGTCCGGCAGCTAGCAATGTAAATCTATTTATCTCGTTCCACTGGCTTTTGTCCTATATATTATCAACATAATCATATAATAACGGTTACATTTAAGCCGCAGTTTGGCCGCAGCGAGGAAATGTTTTTATACTGTACATAACAGCTGCGTAACCAATTCCTGAGAGAATCATAGCAGGAGGTTCCCCTCATGTCAGTCTATATTGATAGCAGTAGCAGTACCCCTACATGGCGTTACTGGCTGCCGTCGACCCCCCAAGCTTAAGATTTATTTTCTGCTGCGATAATCTTCGTTGTCGTAACGCTGTTGGCATTTCGTCGTATGGCAGCTGTGCTGTCGTTCTCACTGTTTCTATTTGCCAGAGTGATAGGAAGTCATTGTAGGCAGTCGAAACGTCTCAGCAAAAGAGAATACTACGAAAAAACAAAGCGTAAGAAGCAGCGCCCCTCGCAGATACGAGGCAAACCCGACCATTGTTGTCAGATATAACGGGCCACTAGCGTGAATGCAGTCCATGATCAAGAGTTTCAGGGTGCGCGAAAAATTGAATCCCTTTGCTGTACTTATTTCTATAATGGTATCATTGACAGCTGCCCTATTCTCTGTCCCCCAGTTTCGCTCTTACAACATTCGAAACGATGCAAGCTGCGCGAAAGGGCACAAACGTTCGAAGGTTTAAGGCACCAAAACTCTAGAAGCGACAACAAAATACCCCAACTGTTCATGGGCTTTCCGTTTCCGAGTTAGCTTTCACATCTGTTTCGTCGAATAGGGCTGCCTTTATATTGCTACTACAGCAACTTGCAAGACTTTTCCTTCACTCTTCTACCTGATTTTTCATTGATAATAGGCACGCGTAAATAGCATCAAAGAGAAAGAGGAAAAAAGCCGCCAAGCGAAGTACATAGCAAAGTGCCCCGTACACTCTTGATGTCATCCTTTTTCTGCTAATGTACCCACCTCTCCCTTCTACTTCTATGCAAGACGCTCAGATCTAATCTATCCAACCAGTCATTTCTTTACAGGGTAGTTCCGTTTTCCCTATTGAGTTGCCCTACCAACAGGCAAGTCAGCAGGTTTATTGCATTGATTCTTGACGTCGTTGGTGGTTTACTGTACCTTGTTTGCCCCCTTCATCAACGCCCACGAAGGTCAGCAGCAGCAGTGCAGCAGCCGCACTGAAAACACAGTTAGAAGACGATAAGGTTATTCTCTGAGATGATGACTGCGATTCGCACTCCGCTGTTCGCGCTTTTAGAGTACAATAAACAGAAATCATTATCCGTTAAAAGCTGCGTATATATACACATACCGTGAGTAAAAGAATGTTTCTGCACCAGAGTGCTCTTTAAAATTTACTCACTGGTTTGCCTTTTCGAAGAACATACGGTCTGGAAAGGAAAATACCTTTCAGCTGATTTTTCGCTTTATGTGTGCCAGCATACTTTTTTTCTTATATATTTAACAAGGTTGGCCGAAAGAATGTTAATGCGCACCCGGGAATCGGTTAGTGTAGTTAAAAAGGCCTATGTTTCGACCTCTAGGTTAAAGGACGAAGCCTTGGAATTGCTTTGGCATTAATTCAAGACGTCTATTCTTGCTCACTGGCACCCGTCACAGTAGTCTTCTACTGCAGCCCTGGATACGATTGAAACCGCTCTTTAGTGTAACGGCGAACGTCGCATGGTTTTGATCCGCGCCTGGGGTTTTGGCGTATATTATGTCTTCCGATGCCCATCATCCATAGTGGATATTCCCCCATTTGCCGCCTAAAGATGCGCCCGATAGGGGCCTGACAACCCCTCTGCCCTGTCAATGCATCCCGCCTCATCCGCCGGTTGAGGTTCACCGTGTATATACTAGCATTTAAAATACTATAAAAGTTAAAGTAAGGTTTATTGTGTCAACGGAAAACGGCAAGGGATAACTTTCATTAGCCCTTTGACCATTGCCAATGTGTCATTATTTACTGTAAATGTACTGGAAACCTATAGACGCGCCATAAAACGCAGCGGTCATTCGCTTCTTGAAACCTCACTAAAATCGCCCGGCTGTTTTTCTGAATAACGGCGTCCATCTTCCTTGTAACGGCAGTGCTACCGTTCTCCAGGTTGAACCTACGAGAACCTAACGCATCGCTTCAAATAGCTCCTCATCGATATGTTATCGTCCTGCTATCATCTGTGTTCTGGTTTCGACATGAACGTCTGCTTACGTGTGCATTGCCATTCTCTGAATAGATGGGCCTACTTCCATGGTGCTTATATTGACAGAGTTGATCTGAGAGCGGGTGGTTCCATTCCATTGTGTGGCTGTTCTGGCACAGCGAAATCCTCTGCGGGAAAGCACTGCCTCGCAACACGCTCAGCTGGCCATTCTGTCTACTTGCTTACTTGTCCGGTCGCTCGCTCGATTCTTTTCAGTGTTCACACTTTCGATTTGTAAGAGGGTTTTGGTCTCCGTTTGTACCTACCAAAAGAAAAGGCGCCGACGATTGGGTAGGATTGGAAACGCAATAGCGTTTGTGTGCGAATGGCGCCGGCCTTATAGTAACGACATCATAGACGAGAGTTTGTTCAAACCGAAGATAACTATGAGCAAAATGAGCCAGAATACGTTTGTGCCACAGTACGATCCGCTTATGTAGTCCCATAGTAATTTACATGATTGCGAACACCGAACGCTCACTCGATCTGCGTATGCTGTTTTCATTTGCATTTCGAGACGGTACTTTATGCACGCCTGAAGGCACTGCCGACCTGTGAGCCAAGTACTGATGTTGTTATGGTATTGCTGAAGCAACTCTCTTACTAACGCCTTCAGTGCATCATCGGGAATTACCTGGTTGATTGGCCGTTGCCAAAGCCGAGCCCTTAAACAACTCATACTGAAGGCCGCAGGCTGCCAAATATTGTCGTATAAGGAAACCTCGCTTTGTGAGTTCCGCTTACGAGCGTGCAAGTGAATAGACAGAGCATTAATTATATAATAAATCACCTCGACCAGTAGCGGGGGGAACGCTCACTTAGGGATATCTTTTTTTTTCTGTATAAGATCGATGAAAAAACCGTACCATTCAACATCTGTCTGCTGTTAGGGCGGAAATGCTGCAGTCTAGGTCACCTACTCCTAATAGAACTTCGCTGAGCACTACATTGTAATATTGGCATCCGATCTTTAATTTCTGATTACAAGCATTGCCTTCTACTTTGTTTCCTGTTCTTCAGCAAATTCAATAGGTGTGATTGTTGTCATGGTAGCATCGGTAGCAAATAGTACAGCAACAAGGGCGGCACAGTCTCACTAAAGACGTTTTTATTTCTATCAACAAGAAAATCAGAGTGACTAATTGGAAAAACACATTATGTCTGACTCCTGTCGCCTGTCAAAAATTTCAAAGAACGCTCTCTAGCAAACAACGACGGAGCACCATGGAGACTGGAGGGCGGTACTCAACGTGCCTGAGACGAAAAAAGTCGAAGAAACGACGACTGCGGATACCGAATCGGAGAATCGCTGGAGGGAAGAAAAAACGGTATCGACGTAGATGAGGAACAGAGCGTCCAGCTACGATGTCACCTATACTCTCTATTGAAAGTAATGGATTGTGTTTTGCATACATCGATAGGGCACGCGCGTTGATGTGCTTAACATAAAAGCGCAGAAGGAAAGCCACCATTTTGAGAAACGCCAGTGCAACAGATCGTGGTTCAGCCAGTTCTACGCAGAAACACACAGGCTGCTAAACATAACCCATATCGTTCTTCATGTTTCTACAGTTACCGCTTAGATTCATCTCTGTTAGTTTGCTTATGGATCGACGACACCTAAATTATATGACCATAATATCTCGTGTCCATCGACCCATCATAGCACGCGCCTGACCTAGTTGTCTGTCGGTCGTTTTGTTCATTACTATTACCACCTTGTAGAAGAACTTCACCCGCTGTCGAAATTATCCTTGAGCTATGTAGCTCAATACTCGACTCGGCTGTACCTAACACGGAACAGAAAAAACGTGGCGTTCAAGCACACGTTGGGGATGTTTGTCGGTGTTGGCAGCCTGAATAGCCCTGAGTGTGTGTTGACTATGTTCATGATCTAACGGAAGTGGCAGCAAAAGCACTTGCTTTCAGTCAATAGCCTTGCCCGAGGCCAAACCACTCCCCGTACGCGAAGTGGCTATATATCATACTGAGTACACAAGACGGCTGATAATGCAGTGTGACTAGGTGAACAAAGTCACCGTAGCTAGCTGATCGCGTCAGCTATAGAGAGAAGTCTGCATATGCAAATATACAGTCTCAATAATAATATTCCTTCCAACGTATCAGCGCGTAATTTCTAAGGTAGGTAATAATTAACCTTAATAATTCTCAAAGTTGTTTAAATATTAATGCGATATTTCTTTATTATTAGTATTTAGTAGTTCTCAAAGATTGCACTAATACCACCCTATATATTCGCGGTTTTAGCACAACAGCATTAGCCCATCGCTTTGTACAGTTTTTCCTTCTCTGGGCCTTTGGAAACAGATAAACCACTACCGATAAGATAACGAAAGACTGCTCCTCCTTTTTCATCCGACAATTACAGCCGCTAATCAGAGGGCGGTAAAATAGCGGCCGTTCAGTTAGTTTTAACAGAGCAAGACCACTAGCGGCCGTCTTCCGAAAGCCCGTAGTCGCGCCTAAGGCCGCTGGTAAGCGGCGATATAATTATAACGGGTCAATAAGGCTGTGAAAAGGAAGCGGGGAAACGGTCTCAGCTACGACGGCCTTTCTTGTCGCCTATGTTCTTGGCGACACTGTTGTTTTACGGTGGCAATATGTGTAAGAAGTGGCCCCGGCGGAGCGGATCGGGTCTGTTGCCCAAGTTGCCCCTCCAGGACTGTCCTCGACCTAACCCTCTGTGACCTGTTTTTGACTCGCCATTCTTAACTACCAGCTACGGCACCGTCTCGTGCGATGTGGGTAGGTGGTGAAGGACCTAAAAATGCATTGACTTCATTAACTCTTCGTTTTTGCTGTATCGCATGCGATGACGCCGTCGGAAGAGCCAAAAGGAAGAGTAAATAAGAGGCCGGGAAGAGACTATCTAATTGGAATTGGAGGAGGCGCTTTTGCCGTCGTGTGATTGTTTCTGCGACTTTTTGCGAGCAATTTGCCTTTTTTTTCCAAGCGTATGATGCTGACAGCTCTGCCGGCGAAAATGACAGTACCTAGGGTAAGGGCCACACCTTTGCGTGCGTGTGTGCCTTAGGATATTGTGTATATCAATATTAGTAGAACATATTGGTTAAACGGCAGAAATCTAAAGTATACTGTATATGTCATACAGTAAGATAGCCTGATAGGCTAGGGGAATAGTATTTCGAATAAATCACACGCAAGGGCATTCCTCATAGACTTGTCTTGTATCACGTCTCTCGCTTACTTTCTTCTCGGCCATAAGTGCCTCGTAACCTTCTACTCTGGAGTCGTTGGGACACTCAGCGCTACAGAAATTGCATGGCGCACGCGGTCTCCGTATGTTGCCATTATTAACACTGACGGTAACCTAATCGTATTCTTCCTAAAAGTTCCTAAAATCCTAAAAGTTAATGTTATCTCCCCGTAAAGTTAAGTCATCGAGGTCGGACGAACGTAAACAGCTAACGATGAATAAAAGAATATGCTCTAATATGTATCAATAATACTACTACAATATCGAGATGCATTAACAGGAGTGAAAGAAAAACCTCATGACATACCTGCCATTGTAACGGCGATGTTTTTGTCCCTTTATAGTACCATATATTTCTTTGCCGTCTGATTTTTCGAGTGCGGCATTTGATAGTCTGCAATCGAAGCAAGATTTCTATCTTCCATAAAAGGTTTTTTTTTATGACACTTTGATTATTACTGGAATCTACCTTAAGTCTTCGCTTTCAGATGCTTGTTCTACACGTATGATGATAAAGATTCCTCCAGTCTTTCATTTTTATACATACGTCTTCTTGTCTTTCTGTGTCGACCTTTCTGTCCTGAGAAGAGAAGCTCTTTTTCAGAATCCACTCTAGTAAACGGATTTTGCAACATTTAATTTTAGTACTAAATTAAGAGTTGTTTGTACATCTAGGTTTACTAGTTTAGTAATGGCAAAACTATTATAAATGTTGCAAAAGAAGCTCATTGTTCCTTTCTTTAGACGCCGTTTAGGTATTAAGCAGGTAGTACTTTTCTTTAGGATAGTAATAATAGTAATCAGGAATTGTAACTACGTGCGGTATGGCTTTACCTTATCGTAGATGTAATTTGAAAAGATGAACCAGAAATAGGTTAAAGCTTAAGCGCACCTGGACCTGTCTTGTAGAGTACTCCCTTTCGGTTGGTCAGCTCGTTTATCCCCCTAGATGTAGTTTATTCTCTCCGATAAACGGAACAGCACAATACAAGCAGGCACTGTGTGGTACCGCTGATTTCTGGGACGATCAATGTGGAGCTATTTGTTTTTTGTCAAATAGCATCTAACAGATTTTATTGCATCTTACCGGCGGCTGTGGCCCACTGATACAAATGGATTTCCTATTGGTGAATCATCTGAAACTCGCAATCCACTGCTGCTTCTTCTACTGCCTTTCTTATCCGCGATGGATACTGCACTTTATGCGGCCCTTCATTCGATTCTGAAGAACGCACGAAGACGTCGAATGAGTGTTCCGACGATTCACGGCGGCGGCGGGAAGTTCCGTCACGGACTCCTGCAGCTACTCATTCACTCCATCGACCCCCTTCACGAACACGAGGGTAAGTATTTCTCTGCATTTCAAGTAATATCAGTTTACCCGGTTTTGCTTATGTAACGGACCAGTACGTTGTTTCGATAGCTAATTTACGTCATGTATTCAATCTGTCTAGTTAGAAAGTGATTGATTATTGAGCAAATCAACAAACTATAAGTTAGGTACAGTAGATTGGTCTTGATACGCCATTGTTTATAGGCTAGTAATTATCGTATGCACTGACTGCTTAAATGGAAACAATATTGTTCGTCACAAAATCGTGCAAACAGTATAGTAAGGATGATGTAACCTGGTAACTGTGTCATTAATCCATGTATGCTGCGGGTTTAGCAGCTGTCGTCATACTATACAGTGGCTCTCAGATATGAAACTGTCATACCGGATTACAAAAGAAGTATTTCGAAAACGATAAAAAAGCAAGGCGGCCGAACTTATCCTAAACGGATACATACACAACCCAACGATACGGCCAACGTGAACGTGGTTTGAAATGTCACACTATTGCTTGTACTTAACATGGATACAACCTCTTTTCAGCCTAGTTATTCAATTGTTACAATTAATAATGGATGGTCGTCTCGAGACTAACCCGAGACGCGTCTGCTAATAAAAGAAAAAAAAATTACTTGTAAATATTAGTGTGGCACAAAGCCAATGGACCAGTTGGTTGAGTTTGAGAAAAACACGAAAAATGCTCGGATTTAAATGATAAAATCGGAACTCTGATACTTTTTCGTTCGTTTATGAACAGCTTACTCATATACAGCATATAGCCAACATCATATTACAAACGGCTCCTTTTGAAAATTTATCGTCGGACGCACATTTTGGTACTATGGCAACGGTTACCATTGTTCATTCGGTTACCAGTGATTCGGTACCCAGGATCATACTAGAAAAATTTATCTCCGCTACGAGAGAGCAGCAGCTTAGTTATAAAACTTAATACGATAGATAGAAGTTTTCCTAACAGCCTGAGAAAAGAGCTAAATGATTGTTACGCCTCTTTATAATAGCTAGCAATTTCATCGATCGTCAAACTCAATTTATGTCGATGCTACGGTCGAGCATAGTATATGGACAGGAACGATATGCTTCGGTATGTTCCATATGACACGTATGCGATGGGTCGTGTCTTACATAATTTGTTTTGCCTGTGTGTAAGTTGAAATTCTCATACATATCTGGCAATTTAGACAAGTTGCCAAATGTGAAAATTCATTTTCTCCAATTTGGGTGCGTGCCCTGTTTAAAATTTGGACAGGTCAAGCATTAGGTGAACAATAGAGGCTCATGCAGCTTTTTTCCAAAATTTGTGACCGGTTGAAAGCAGGTGAACGAAATAGATATCTATAGAGACGGCTACACGAATATGCCATTGGGGGCCAAGGAATAGCAACCAAAATATTATTACCTCGGAGCAACCAGATCATAACTATCACCGGCAAAAAAAAAGTAGCTCCCCACTATGATCAATAGGCCACAGAATTTACTAATAACGTTCATCGATGGAAAATCAGTCGCTAACATACGATTTAAATTAATACAGGAAAAACTTCCCTTCCAGCGATTAGTATGGGTTATAACCGCGACGGTTCTAACTGGTCGAAAACGTTCGAATTCAGACAACAAATTAAGATTATTTTCAGTTTATTTATTCTATTTTTTTTTGATTAAGAAGAAAATAAAATCCATTTTATTAGTGTACAGCGGTGTTCATTAGAACCGAACGTAGACGCGCTTTGTGTCACACCGAAAATCAGCCACTTAAAGAAATGCCTGTTGTACATAAAAGTCGGAACGTTTATTTAAAATTTAAGTATCACTAAAAACTAGCACATCAATTGAAATGTAAGCTAGAAGTTCCAACAAACGACAAGTTTCATTGACTTTATACGTTTATGTTTTTCACACTTAAAAAATTGTCAAATATGGCTGAAAATCAGTAAGTTAGCAGTAACAAGTAAGCGAACACGGAAGGCTGGGATCGAGTAACATGTAACAGGAGTTAACATAGCTTTGTTCTGTACGTATCTAGTTAAAGCTGCCCCATAATGTGTAATAGTGAGAAATTGACGTGGTAATCTGTTGTTCAATATAATCAACTGTATCCCAGGTATTCGTACAAGAATAGTTTGTACATTTATTAGACTTATCTTCGTCAGTCTAATGCAACTAGCGTAATCAAACAAACAAGAAACAACAAAAAAAAACAATTACCTATTAAACACGTCTGTAAAGCTAGCTAAAATCAAATCTGATTACTCTTCATTCAACCATTCCTTCAAATGGGTCTCGTACCTTTAGAGAGGGTAACTGCATTTATTACAAATCACAATTTTCGTAAGGGACTTAGTTTAAAATACATAGCTAGGTTAGATTGCTGTGATAAATGGCCTTTTTATTAGCTAGCCAATGTGTATCGTTCCTGAAAGAAGTCAACAGGAGCATACTTCTATTGGACCATTGTGTTGTAATATATCCTGGCGTCAACGCAATGTCTGACGGCTCAAATACCGCAGGTAAAGCATTTCATATTTAATTTGACCCTGCACCCTGACAACCATAATAAATCAGTAACATCTCTTAAAAAATTTATTTTTTTCAATATTTCTTAACAAAATCATGAGAAGAATGTTTTGATCTGCAGCCTTGCAAAGAGTTGGCCAATTGGTTAAATAGAACTCTGATGTTCACCAACGTTCACGGTATGAAGCTCGCAGTTTATCAGCAGCCCCTGTGATGATATATTAACGGGTAATCTCTGTTAATCTATAGCTATATATTACTCCTATGACAACAGCTTACGCTCATTTGAGGAACTTGTCGTGTGCCCACTAAGTTATAGGGTTCGAGGCTAAATGTATCGAATGTCACCTTTCTCGCTAAGTAAATCTTTAACAGCTATCTAAATGAAAAAAAGTACGGTTAAAACGAGTAATACAGGAAACACTGCGGTATTTTTTGTATCTTTAGTAGTGAGAGTGAATGTGAGGCAAATAGGCAGTTGATTGTCGAAGCACGCCACTCAAACGTCTGCACAGTAAGCGACGTAAAGTGGCTGAATAACGTTCTTGTTCTTCGTGTTGATAGAGATCTACACATGTGGATAAAACGCTGTGTCAAGGCTGCACTTACGGACCAGCGGGTGTACAAAGGTATCTCTCCCTCTGTCCTACTTTAAGAGGTAGCTCTTTCTTATATGCCCCCTGAGCAACACGGAGAAGAAGCCTGATCGTACGTAGCCATCTGATCTTCACAGAGTGCCTTCTGATCTATCATATTCCATATTGTTACGAAATAGCCGGCATGATGGGACACAGGCCTATCAGATAGAGGACAATGCCTAACGGGTGGCAGTGTAGCTTACCACGTTGTCCTTTCGAACAAAAAAGGGCAGGTGGCGCTACTTCTTTGCGCTTCGTCTGCTAGTAAAACTTACTCAAACAATGATTAAAACATCGCTTATTGTCATTGCTGGCTAGTTGTTGCCGTCGGTTGTCTTTTCTTCAATTCCTATTGTAGCCGTATAACCATTTTTTTTCATATAGGCCCAAGTGCATCGGATTAGCCAGTCTGGATCCTATTGTTTCGCCAGTCACCACTTTAGTCCCTATGCTACGCCTTCGTGGTTGCTACTGCTTCGCCAACTTGTCGCTGAGATTTGGCTGCTACCTTCTGTGCTATGATGTCACAGAGTCCTCGATAAACGCTTAGCTGTATTCGTCATCCGGGGGACACGGTTGTTTGGCGCTGCCTGAATTGCTTTATCCTCTACCTTTCTCCACCTAAATTAACTGTCTGTACGTGCCACCCCCAGTTGCCAGACCCCATACCTTGAAGGTCGGAAGCTGGTTAATGAACTCTCGAACCAATGCAATCAGCTAGTTGTGGCGCGTGCAGCCTTTATAGGCTAACTTTTTTATAACGCTACTGCTTTCAGTGAAGCAGGCAGTGCCATGAATATCAACAGGATCCCAGCGGGAATCAGTTGAATAGATATATGGCTAGATAGATTTAGAGTACAAGCTTCACCTTTGTATGTTTTTACGAAACAGACATCGGTCGTTCTTCGGCAGTAGTCCAGCTAGCTGGCGCTGTCTGTACAATGTCGGCGACGGCACGTTGCCCTGCTTCGGCTACCACGCAACCCAGAAAGACCTTGCCAGAGTCTCGGCTTTGTCTTATACGGTGCTTGCCTTCTTCTCGACAATGTAGAAGAAGTGTGGTAAAAGTGGTAGAGGAACGGCATTCTGCAATCTTCGGTTTTTACAATACGGCCCAGAAAACAACGACCCTGGTTCGATTACAATTGTTGCTCTGTTTTCCGTAGCCAAAATATCGTCAGGCTAGTCGCATTACTACAACCCCTTGCCGCTCTTGGTCGGAGCGGTCAAGATGATCTGCCAGAGAACAGACCTCATAAATAGCTAAACCAGTAGGAGGCCATTGCCATAGGAAAGGCCGAATCCCAGTCGTACGAATGACCTGGCCCCGACAAGTTAACGTGGCGCTTCATCAGCTCATCAATGTTCATTGACCACTGCACCAGAATGTTTCTATCTTGCGATACCCCGTATCTCAGGAGTGTTATTACTGAATGTAGCGCAGAACGAATAGATGACGGAGGAGCGCAGGTCAGCTACATCATACGAGATTCGGAATGAGTGCTTTAAGGCCGCTTTAGAGTTGATGCCGTATTAGGTCGCCCCGTTCGAGGAATGTTCTCGTTATAGACTCTTTTTTCTCAGTGGGAGACGCAACGCTCCACGCTGTTTCCAATGTCACTGTAGCGCAAAATCACGAAAAACAACGCTTTTTTATATGCTTTTCTTATATGTATTGGTAAGAAGACTATGCGCGTTTCGGGAGAGTCTAAGTATAATGAGCGAAAAGTAACATAGATTTAGGAAAGATCTTTCGATTTACACGTTGTGTAGGGTCCTATTTGCTGACACCAGGAGAACTAGAAGTGGCTTTTGACAATATACCTACGCAATATTTGTCGATTTCAGGGTAACTTTCGATTCCATCCCAAGGAATCTCAGCCAACTTTCGCAAACGTACTTGAACTAATAGCAGCGATACTCTAGAAGAACAAGGTTACCTTTCTTGCTCTCAGTCCGGCTTGAAGATTTACCTGTCGAGGTACGCGGATCTAGAAGTATGCTGGACTTTTATGTTGCCGATCTAATTATTTACGGAAGCAGCCACTTTTATATGCAGCAGGGCTTACCAAGATCTTACTCTGCTGTGTATGCATTAAGTCTAACCATGACCCTTACCAACACCGGAAATATGAAATCCAAGAGAAGTGGTAGTATTGCGACCTGTAACACACGCTGGCCGACTGTTGACACATGTTCCAATCCACCGACCTAGAGCTGCTAGCCTTGTATAAACAGCATAAGCTCTGCCAGGCTATTCCTCATTTGGTTTCAACACGTACCCCTCTGGGGCTTTTCGATCTCAATGTTATTCCGGCTGCCCCATACGGGTCAAGGAGGATCTGACTGTTGAGAAGTTCGACCAATTTATTCCGTCAATTAAAAGACGCCATCTCTTAAACCGCATTCAGCAACCTGCAACAATTTTCTATAAGTGCGAGGAAGCCATGTTTACTGCTAGAATCTTGATTCTCCATCACCGTCATTTTTCTGATACAAGGAAATTAGGAAAAATAGAATCGAAAATTCGGGGAGGTTCTATTAGACAGAAGCCGTTACGAATGAGACCTGGAAAGGACATGACTGACAGACATGTAACGGCAGGCTAAGCACTTCACGGTTTCCTTTATAGTCTATGCAGAGTGTGGAAGTCTCATACAGGCTGTGTTTGTTAGGCGCAGCTAATTTTGTAAAATTTGAATAGTACAATACTTGCTATGCTTTATGAGATTCAGAGAATTACAAGTCGACTGCTTCAAAAGCCGGTTTATAACGTTAGCCTTATTTCTTCTCGTGAAACTATCTTCTATTCTTATAAATATATTTCAAATATTTGCATGTTATATATAGATATAGATATATTCGATGCGCTTCAGTGTATATATCATAAATAGCAACACCGATGCAATGATCGAACTGGACTACGAATACGAGGTGCCTCTTCTCTCACTGACGCGTGTCGTCATTTAGGCAAAGTTGACGAGAAGGCGTCTCAGCTGCACACGATTGCATCGCTGGGCGTGCTGCTCGACGCCACGGGCCCTGGCAGCTCAGGCTCTCCGACACCTACGCCACTCAACGGCAGCGCGGGCGGTGCGGGCAGCGGCGCGGGCACACGCTTAGGTTCCTCGGCCTATAAGGACTCTACCAGGCGGACCACCCTTGACAACAACATCGACTTCCAGGTGAGTGCACGAACACTTATTTCTAAGGCATATATCTGTGAAAAAATAGCATACAAATGTAAAACATAGTTCGATTGACTTTCTACTAATGCTTGAATCTTTTTAATCTAATTGCATCTTAGTAACGCAAGTCCGATTCTATATAGAAGCTTAGAACTGGCAAGCTTATAGAACTATTTAAATGGACAAATGAACAGAGTAAGAAGCTCTTTTATCGAGCATCTTAGTTGAACTAGCAGCGCGGTAGCAACCCATTCACTGGATCGGCATCAACCTAATGACTGAACGGCTTATGTAACTTATTGCAATCATGGTCCTAATGGTCAGGTTTCTACACAATGAATTATTCACCAACTGTTTGCTACATGTCGTCAAAGCTCATATTTACTAACGGATTTCAGTCAAAATAAACTGTAATCGATCCAAAGCAAACAGGCATGTGATCCAAAGCTGTTTACCAGTATAAGTAGATGTATTCCTCGTTAGTAAACCCAGTAGCGTTCTAATTGAACTAATTTATTATCTTTAAGTTTACGGATCCCGGAAACCCGTTAATTGTGACATATAGTGCACAACTTGTGTTATTAAATAGATGCAATTCTATTGGCTGTTTGCGCCTATTGACTCTGCGGGTTCGTCACCTATTTTCAGGTCGACTACTGCCACTTTCTAATAGCAACCCTACATTACAATGACGTCAGCTTGACTAAACTATTCACGCAATAGTCGTAAGTGGCGCCGCCAAGTGTTGAATACTGTAAAATGAAGGAAGTTTCTATAAATAGAGCTAATGACGACAAAAATAGCCTACTAAATCCTCTAAACAAACTACTGTTGGTCGGTTGTTCCGGTGAATGATGTGAAAGCCCTGTCTCGAAACAGCATGATCATTACCAGCATAAAAGGTAGAAGTTCTCTACATATTAGTCTGTTCAGAACCGCTAAAATTCAAATTACGCTTTGTACAATATCAGCAACGATCCTTCGATTTCCCCGGCACGACAAAATTTGAATGCACGAGCAAATCTAAATTTACACTATATCTGATTGTAATATCTGCCATGATTCTCTATTAGCTTTCAATCTAGAGATTTAGCGAAAATTTTGAGCTATTGCCCTTTTCCATATCATGGCATAGCCTTTCCTCTCCTACACGTATTATGCTTCACCACGCGAACGCGTATATTTACATTAAAGTACCAAAATGAAAGTGCAAGAAAGAAAGCTTTTTGCATAGCCCAGTACGAGTATGTCTTACTAAGCACGAATACACAAATTAGAAAACATTAACCTAGACTGAGAAGAGGGCCCGGAGTCTCCATTTTCGTTTTTGCCGACTGGTTGAGCTCCTAAATCGACTTGGATCCAAGAGCTAAAGTGGCACTAAGCTAAGAATAAGGGAGTGCAATGCCCTCCTCAATGGTGTTTCGGCGTTTTTTTTTTGCCTCAGATATCCCTTCCCTTCGACTCAATGTTGCTTGCCAGCCCATGTACCATATGTGATATTAATACTGCTACAACTAGAGCATAAAGCGAGTGCCATCTATTTGTACGACTATGAATTTTTCGACTGTCAAACGGCTTTCGACAAGAAATTACTTTCGCTAGGCTCTGTTTTCCTATGCAACTCATTCTGTCTGAGCCATTTACAGCTGCAATGTCAGATCCCGATATTATAATCAAGTCAACTCCGCTGGTTGTCAGCTGTCGCGCTATCTGCTATTTGCTTAGGATTGTTGGGTAGAAACTGTTGACTGCAAAAAGGAGTAATTTTGATCACCGACGGTTATTCCTTTGATCCGCCGAGGCCACTCGAGCCAGGCTTGTCATGTCGGGTTCCTTCGGCCTGTGACAAGAAAAAGCAAAAACCGGTTTCCATCGAACAACCGAAAACAGTTCTACAAGCCAACCGAAGAGAGCCTTGAAGATAGTCCTTTTTTGCGCAACGGAACGAAGGGCAGCATACGCCCGCAGTCGACTTGTTTAAGTTTAGATAGGTCCCGACGCTGCCTACCAGTATGGATTCTGCTACAAACATACAAATAATAACAGCAAAAAATAAGAAGATGCGAACAGCAATGAATAATCACTATACGGCGTTACTATGCCGCAGTTACTTTGACTGCACTTTTCTCCTGTCTATTATATAATGCCTATAATAAAAGAGGTTACCTGAAAAAAGAAAACTGCACAGTAAAGTGCAAAAGAGTAATCATACTTTCCTACTAAATTAATAAACGGCTATTTTGTGCTAAGTTATAAACCCTTCTTCGGAGTAGGGAAAAATGGGTCCTACATAGACTTAAAGAAAGTCGTATTGTAAGTAATTCAAACATGTGCATCGTTTATCGGACGGCACAAGCAGAAGTCATTTCTGCACAGAACTGATGTTGGAAATAAAGGAGGAGTGTTTCCGTCGATCCTCGGCTTTGGAGAAGAACGGTGAAATTTCAAACAGCATTTTTAGGGGAAGCTCCCGAAAGCGAGGCTGCTACTTGGGCCGTGTATATATATAGGAGATACATTTAATTCATTGATATGTGCATAGCTTTTATCGCAACAGCAAAGCTTAAATTTATTTTAGAAAGGTTCTAGAGACGCTTAGTGACTACGGCTATGACAAAACATCTGTATAAAGGTGAAGATTCCATTATAACGACATGTCGTTTACTCCAGTTTTTCCTTTGTGACGACGGATGTTTCGCGTAATTGAGTACCACCATGCACGAACAGCACAATATGAAATAGATGAATTTGTCCATTCATGGTTTTGATGCAAGTAACTTTGCTAAAGCAAATTTACTAACTTTCGCAGCGTTTGATATCAATTGTCAAGAACAAAAAGGCACTCTAAATATGACGATCACGTCGGCTAATATACACTGCTCTCTTTACGATAGTGACAACACACGGGTAAGGCCATAACACTCCTGGCAGTCTCTGTGTCCATTTACGTATACAGGCCAGAAGGTCCCTTTTTTCATCTCCGCTATTTGAGCAAACGGCAATTTTATCTAAAGGGCGTAGGGCGAATGACAGAAAGCACTAAAGCGATAGGGACTGTCGTGTTTCCTGAACAAAAGGCGCTCGATGAATGTCGAAGAGTGGAGAGGCTCGTTCCACCGCTCTCATTGTCTTGCTGTCGGCGCCGACCGTTGGTTTTGTTTGATTTTAGGTCTGTCTCTCTCATGCTCGATGCATTAAAAATTATAACGTATATCTAAATAAAAATATAGGTGGGTCCCGGTGCGGGCGAGGAGAAGGCGATGCCTCCAGTTGAGGAATCATTGAAGACGTCCAGCTCGCTCAACGAGGCCGCACATCCAGACTCTGGTTACAACAGCGCTGCACAGCAAGCCGCCCAGAGGGTAAGTTCAAGTCTTCTTTTCCTCCTTTTTTATCGTTAGTTTTTACACTTATTTTTCAGTAATTCTAATTCTTGAGAAAACAGTACCGTTGTTGTGACAAGAATCTATTTTTGTTCCCCATTAACGCCAGCTTATTCACAGTTGTGACGTAAACGGTTCGAATCGTATGCCGAAACCAGACGATGTGTTCACCGTAGAAATATTTAAATGTCTTTACGTGAAACAAATGGCAGATAAATTTTTCTGTATTAATACACAAAATTGAGCTTCTTAGAGTGTCAGCTAACACAAAACATCAGTGACTCAGATTCCGGACGTCTTTGTATAGCGTTTACAACGTCTCTATCTAGCCGAAAAAGTAAAATTCTTCTAGCTTCAATTGTAGTCTCGTTCGTTCATGCTTTTAAGGTATTATGCAGTCCTTTCGGTAGAGAACGTGACTCCATGCACTGACTGCTTTTTCTAACCTTTGCAACGGAAGCGACCAAAGATAGAGTAAACAGGACAAGGAAACCATGTCTATCAACTAATATATTATAAGTAGGATTCGTGCACTGTATTACTAAGTAATCATCCTGATTCTGTCTCAGTATTCGATATCCTTTCGGTGTTGGCACTCAGTTGTATCCATTTACTAAAAGATGGCTAATCTGGGTACGGTCAACAATATCATCGAATCATTTGCACGGGTCCTTCACTTTGTCACCTGTCAGTTGAACGAGGACAAGATAGCTGCTGACGAAGGCTAAAAAGTTTCGGCCCGATATGGACGATTTGGTGATCTTATTACGGTATCAGGCCACGTTAATCTTGACCGCCGTCGCCGACAGCTTCACAACAGGCACGAGATAAGTAAAAGTACTAGACAAGATGTACGAAGGACATGAACTGTCGAGCGTGTGCCAGCTTTGTTTTTAGTTGGGAATTTGCGTGGCCTTTTTCTCGTCCTTCGTGTGTAGCAGCAGCAGCGATTCCGAGCAAATTTACCAGGGCATAAGAGTCTACCTTGTGCTCTAAATAATTTCGTTCCTGCTGTTCAGATAAGCACTGGAAAACGTAGCTGGCTGGTAAGAACGCCCTTTACCGAATAGACGTACCGGTAAACAATCGGTACGTAAAAAGACCAAAGGGTTTAAACGACAAGAAAGGTACTGTTCAGTACGACACGACTGTCTATCCTGCCTGCGATTATGGTTGCACACGGTGCCGATAGGACAAACTGGTGAAGTTTATTTTGGTAACAAATATTTGCTTGCCGATTCATTGTTTGACTAGCGTTGGAATATCATAGTGCCGACTTTCTCGCAATAGCACGGGTAGACCAACTTCGAATTCACTGAGGTCAAACGTAACTATGCGGGTTCAAGTTGAAATTAGGAACTTAACTAACGTTGACAAAGTGTCAGCATTGAATCGCTATTCAACGCTTTATAATTGTGGTCCGTCACTCTACTCATTACGCCACTACCGTGACCTCTAGAAAGGATTGCAGTGAAGAACATTTCTTTAAGGGCTGAGACTTTGTATTATTTTATGATATTATAGATATCTGATTAGGCTTTGCATATTTTGCGAAATGTGCGAGCTCGTTTTAACAAAATCCTAAGGGGTTACATGTTATATGTTTAAAGTATATATGTACAATTTTAGAAAAATACAAGAAAAGTACATATTTTAGGATTCTTTGGTGTTTGCAATTTCTGTCTATTAAAGAAAAACCTTAAGTATTGCGTAAACGAATTGAGTTTCGATTGCTGTTTCTGACTGTGGATGTACAATAAGAAGCGCGATTCTAGCCACTTCAGAAACTAAAGCCCCACCTCCTGATACGAAGAAAAAGCAATTTCATAGGATATTTGGGTGACCCTCCGTCGACGCATAGTAAATGTTCGTAAGGCGTAATGGTCGTCTTTACGCTTCAGCGGCGGGCGTTGTGGTGTTCGCTGTACTCGCCGGCCCTGGGAATCCGAGGCGGCCATTACCAGCTCATTAGAACCCCGTGGAAGGATACTTTTAGCAGCGAGATTCTATACTCGATTCCGTGTATCGCCCAAGCAGCCAATGCTTCTCTCTCTGTCTGGCTTCCGGAGGGCGTAGGCCTTGCCGCACATACCTGTTTGTCTGTGTCCAGCTTCTACGGCCTGGCTGCCTACAACTGTTTAAGGGCTGCTGCTTTCTGTGCCAGTCGACCTATCAAGTAATTGCTAACAAAACCTCAGGAAGCGGAGTCCGCGTCGGCAGCAGTGATAACCTAGCACCGATTTTGAGAAATGACACCAAAAACGAAAACAGCTTTTTTTCGTTCGTGGCTGGCAGAAACAAGGGATCCATTTTAGCGGCACTTCTATTCCTTATGTTGTACTTTAAATTTTCCCTCTTTGCCTACTACACCCTTTCAACGCATTGCTGCTTAAACATCGCTTTCAATTAAGCATCCTGTGATGATTAAGTTTCTGTTAACTGAAAGCTAGCAAACAGCAGGAATGACCTGACCAGATATGATCGAGGCATAACAATTCAGTGGTTGGAAACTTAATAATGAACTTCGATGATGACAGCTCGCTGTCCCGATGCTCAGCTACGATAACTAGGCGACGGCCATAATCAGGGTCCTTGCGATATTTCGAATGCGCGGACGAGGGTGTCTTACGAGCGAAGCGAGGGAGGTTCAAGCGTGTTTACCCTAGTAGGATAATATCATTGCGAACATTATAAAATTAGTATGATAAGAAAGATATCAATACATAAGATATGATTCAGAATATCACTATAACCACTAACCACGATATTTGGCTCAATGAGCACGCAAGAATATATGCCTTATATAGTTTTTTCATTTGAAAAAGATCCCTAATACTTGCAAACGTCTGCTTGCTTCATCGACCTAAGTTCTGTAGGAGGTGAATGTTAAATGTATTGACGCTTTCCCCTGTATTCGTCTATATCTACTATTGGCAAGCATGTGTGTAAATTCGCTGAAAATTAACAGAGTTTACTTTACCCGTTATTGTCGTCTGTGTTCCGTATCTAGTTCGTATGAGAATATATTTTTAATCATCCGTGGGATATGCGTCGCTGATGGGAATAGTGTACTTTTATGAGTACACTATTCCCATCAGCTTGACGATTCTCACACATCACGATTGTTATCATAATGCAGATAATTATAATAGATAACCTCGACGTGGGGCAGAACGTACATGAAAGCTTTGAGGTCCTCACTTGCTATTCATTCATCGTCATTTTCTGATGGATTCTTTTTTTGAAAATGTCGTTCGGCCAACTTAATATAATTATAGCTTATAGAATCGATGTCGATGTCCTTCGGTTGAAAATAATGCATTCAATTCCAGATGAACTATGAACTATTTTGCTATGATAAGAAACTGTCTAGCTAGGTGGCGCTCCTTTATCCTATCATTGACTTTGATATATGTTCTTGATCTTGTTTTAATTATATTCGAACTCAAAAATGAATCTTTTTCTTATTGAAGCTACTGCTAGATTGCATAGAGCATTGAGCTTAGTATAGCACTATCATGTAGCAGTGCACACATTGCGGAAAACCCTCCTAACACGATTTAAGGTTCTAGTAAGTGCGGAGCATTTAGCATTCATTAACGTTCTGGTAGAAGTATTTTGGAATCGTCAGTACAGCTTTACCATATGTTTTTCCCTTTACATCTTGTCCTTTTCGCTAATCCCTGATCATGACTACTCTTGTTCGTCTTAGGGGTGGGTGTCACCACAAAACAACTAAACATAGCCTTAAAGCCTATTTCTGGACAAGAACCCCTTTTAGCTAGCATCTACCGTCATACAATTAACGATGCTAAACGCATCCACGTTCAGTATAAGGCCTCATCAATCTTTGAATAGAACCAAAGTAGGACGTAAGCATCTTCCTTATTTCTTTAAATGAGGTGAGCATTGTCATTAAGGCAACGTATTGTGCTGACAATCATGCTGCTCTTGTCAACAAACTGCTCTTTCTTACATACTAATAGCCTTGTCGACATAAGATTTTAGTCGGTACAACTGGTCTCACCTCGTAATTGTTTAGCAAGCTAGATTGTATGAGTATCTAATGTAGTCTTATTTCCTATTTGGCAATTCCACCTACATTTGCTCCTGTCAGTTTTTGTGCGCTTGTTTGTTTTTTTTCTATAAACGTAAAGAAATAGACAGCAAGCCGATAAAGGTGTCCGTCCGACCTCGCTAACCTTCTCCGTCATACAGTTTTCAGGAAATGTAACATTTCTAATCTATTACCTCGCTTAGACGTTGCCCGTTTTATTATTTCTCATCGAGACGTTTTTTGTTCGGTTATTTCGACACAAATGATCCTGTGATCTTTCACAGTGAGCGGCAATACAACGGCACATGTCTTGATGTACGCATGGCTTTTGACCATTACACATATATCAATATTCTGTCTCGGGTTAGGCGCTACTGAAGGACGCCGTTGATGGTTCCATGGCTTTTTTGGAATGGGTAGCTAGGATGTGTTTATAGTCTGTCTAGCTTTACCTGTAGGTACCTGTCTACAATTTTCGTTAGAGAGAGGGCATGCTTATAGAAAATGTTTTTTATTTTGTTTCTAACATTTGTCCTCAGGCTGGTAACGCGTCTTTTATCATCTTTAGTCTAGCAATTGCGGATGACACAACTATGTACATTCTGTGGCTTTAAATCTCGAGGGTATACAACAGGCCTGCTTGAAGGTCGATACAGATGACTTAGACTATATTTGAGACCGTAGCAGTACCGTTTGGGACGCCTTAATCCAGATCGATTTCCTTGGTTCATCGTTACTCTAATATGAATCTCGAATACAAAAAGCATAAAGTTCTCCTTGCCTGTACTCTTCTCTAAACTGTCTTAGTGCTTTACGATGATAGGCTTTTTTTTATGCAATTTATTGTATAGTTGCGGGGACACAAATATCGTACGTTACTCTATTATTGTTCGGATTGTAGTTATAGTTAGCACAGAATGATTCCACGTACGCGATATTTGGTCTGGCTTAGGCGCTTTTGGGCTGGGCGCATTCCGCTTGATATCTCCCAGATTCATAAACTTAAACTTCCTTTAACAGCGGTCCGAGCAACGATAAAAAGGTTACCCGTTTTATATGTTCGATAAAGGTAAACCTTCTATCTACCTTCTAATGACTATGGCGCACTGCAGGACTCATCGTATAGGTGTCAACTGCGAAGGCGTGGTGCCGATCACAAATCATCCCTTATTTGAAAGAGCCCATCTGAATCTTCCGTATATACGAACACATGCAACCTATTCAAAAAGGATACTATCTTCTGTACATTCGTTTTGCCCGTTCAATTTCTCTAGCCGGTATCAGCATTCACTCTATTATTATCACAATTATATGTATTTAGTTCTTCAATGTAATATTACTCGATGCGGTAGCTGGGGCTTAATTAATAAGTAAGAAATAAATAAATATTACACACAGATATTTATTTATGGTAAAAGTGAAGATGAAATTTAGTCTCGAATGAATAAAATTGCTTACCACCGCCTTTGAAGCTGGAAGTACGAGAACGGAAAAAAAAATGCTTAATTCCTTTTCTACTTTCACGACCATGTCCATTAGGAACTGAATAATAATAGTAACTATTTTAGGTTAGTGGCTGGCTCAATTCAGCTGATCCCTCGTGATATATCCAATATAGTACTTCTAACGCATACGTGGTTTCAGTGTGATTTGCTTTCCCGTTCGTTTAAATGCTTGTCCGAAGGGGACTGTTTTTGGCTTGCAAGTCTGCTACTACGCAATATACGCTTTCTAATAGTTTGTGCCTGTCAGTGATGCCCACATACTGGCTATACGAGATCGGGCTTCCCTTGTACATCAACCGGTCTAAACAAATCATTTCAACAAGACCATAACCGACCTGTCCTATTGACTGAATCACCATTAAATGCCCATGCAGGCGATTTAACGACGCGTCTTCACACGTTCTCTCACTTGGACTTCGACCGAACGCTTAAATGGCGCACATCGTTTACTCCAGATGCGAATGACGGGTAGCTAGCATCTTTTTAAGCTGGCTGCGTTAACAATAGACTGGTCCACCTATATTGATAATAAAAATAATATCTAAATATGTGCGGGCTGTAATATTTTTTTTCTATAGTTTCTAACGAGAAATGGATTTTCTAACATGTTACCATTGTGCCGTTGGCCAAGCTGTGGTCAGCGTGGTAGGCTAATTCGAAGCGGTCTTGAGCCAACTTTAATTGTCACTGTTTTTCCGTTTCCAAATTGAAGCATACATTTAAGAAATATAAAACAACAACATTGCCCCTTGCAATCGATTCATATGGCAAATAATCTTTCCAGTATATAGCATTATTTTAGGCGTTTGGCAGGCTTTTTCATCGCGAGGTATTTAATTTAGGTCGAAAAGGACCACTTGTACAAATCAACTCTCTCTATTAAAATGTTTTACATTTTACTCCGAACGGATAGATATCAGCAGCAAAAGCGGGTGCGCTGTACAACAATAGTAAAGCGGTGTTTGTAAGCTGTAAAAAAAATTTGCAAATTCTGTAAATTAGAGTGATATTAGATTTCTTTCTTTCGGGTTAAGATAACGCGCTCATCCGTTCGCAGGTTCACTGAAGTTGAAACACTGCCACATGCGGACGTTTGCCAGGAACGCAGTTTCAACATTTTCGACAGATTCGAGGATAACTTAATGGTCACTTTAACCTGTCACTAGCGCTCCTTGTAACCTAAACATGCGTCAGTTTGCCTAAGCAATGAATCATGATGTATATTTTGGCTGTACGGGAAAATGATGTCCTTTCCATATTCAATAATAATATTGATAATAATAATTAGCAACTAATTTTTGACCCGACATAGATGGGAGACGCAAGAAAACGTGGTTTCTGTTAACAAATAGACTTTATTGTTCGAGTGAAGTTTTCAACCGGCCACATGCCACGCGCGCTCGGAAAGATTATGTCATGTAGATAGCCAAAAGGAGTGTTTCTGTGGCGTTGTCTCTTCTCGTGGGCTCATACTTAAGCGAGTGAACATAGAACATACAAGATTTGAATTTTCAGAACGGCTCGAAAAATGGCGTCGAAGGGATCGGCGGTAGAAGTTCCGCTAACGAAACAGCTCAGTCTACAGCCTCCAACGTATTTTCATATTTCTTTATCTGTAGCGAAGTGGCCTGGTAATACTGCAGCGGCAGAAGTGGCGGTTAATTTAATGAAGTTAGTTACGAAGTGGCCCAGTCGCTGACAAAGCAAGAGGGCACTTATTCCAGTTACGGTGGCTGACAGCTTCATCGTCGCTTGATTAATAGGATTTTCAGTCGACTGGCCTCCATCGCTTTATCCCACTATTTTCTTTGACTTCCAAAAGGTTTCTCGAAATGAAGGGACGAGGGCTTACACGTTTTAGGCTAGGACGCATTCATGTGCATAGCCGGTGTGTTTCCTTAGTACGGCCATACTTCCGCAGCTGGAAACGGCGGTGTCAGCTTTGGTCCGAGTGCGCTCGAACCGGTCGCCATTTTCTCCAGGCAAACCTAGAGAAAATCGTTCTACTGACAGCAGTTTCTGATGCTGTTAATCGTTGTCTAAACCTCTACCGCTAGGAAAGCTATTCGAGCGATACCGACAACGATAGCTATAACAATACGCCCAACAAATAATGACAGCTTATATAGTTGCTTTTTATAGTTGCAATCCAGATAACATTAATCGATATAGTGCGTTAATGTGTGTGCTTACTAGTAATCAAGAACTGGTACTTCGTGACGTAGCGGCCAAGCAGTCGCCTGTGACTTAGACAAGTTTATATCATCCTAGCTGTGTTGACTTGTTTGATGAGCATATATCTAAGTGATAGACATCGTGACTGACCATTACATTATTTTGACTATTATTTTTTTCATCATTTCCCACAAAACGTCTCTTCGTGTATGGCCGTCACGTACTTATTTGATGCACCAAAAATAGAATTGCGTTTATGGCGCCGCAGGTGTATGTATATAATTTTACCGAACGTTAGGACTCTCTCGAGCGTCTTCTTCAGTTTTTTTTTGTCTTTCGATCCTAAGCATATTTCGAACGAAAAGGTCGCACTTAAGGAGTTAACAATCATTGGTCTAAAATCTGCCGTGGTGAATACATTTGTATAAGTCCTTATACATTGACCTTATTAAAAGTCAGAAAATAGAGACCGATGTAATGACTGGAGTCTCGAGTTTTCCGGCAGTTAGCCAACAGGTAGGGGCAGCCGAGAGCGGCGCTATAAGGCGTCTATGCGCTTTTCATCTAGGTAAAAATCTTGGCTGAGATCGTTGAATTTGTTTTTGTGTTTATTTGCTTATGAATATTGACTATAGGAAGCATGTTGGCTAGTAGATAGTCATAAGATAGTAATAATGCTATCTTTTCCCTTAGAACTGTTGCATATTGCCCCCGTTTAAAAAATCTTTGAAGCCAATAGTGGCTCTTCCTCTATCCGATCAAATACATAGTTAAGCTCCTGCCAGTAAGGTGGTCAGGCTTTCTGCTACTATATTATGTAAGCGCGTAAAATTAAGATTAGCAAGTTTCTAAGTTCGTCCTTACGGAGTAACGAAAAGTCACTTGTTTATTTCTCAAGAAATATATATATATATATATATATATAATTTTTAGCAATTTATACTGCTATCCTGTATAGATGCACATTTAACCTTCGATTAAAGTAATTTTTGTTATTACTATTGTTATTAAGCCTTAACACAATAAATTATAGGAGACAAGAAGAAGAAGAAGAAGGGGTCGGTGGCTTCAATCTGCCAGACGTGGTCTGACGAACACAAAGTCCGACCATCCAGACGTCGCTTCTAAGCGATGACCGTGTGCTAACCTATTTCATCTCTGTTTTTTTCGTCTCGTTTCATGTGGGCGTATGGTTTGCTGTTTTTGATTATTGATTTGTGTATGCGTTCCGGTAATGGTGTTCTTGCTAATGTTCTCTACGATCCACTCACACCGGCGACGTATCGGCGATTGAATTCTCCAAACAACCGCTGCCTCGATCTGTGATGGTGATAATAATGTGGGTTATATGTTGATGTGCACTGTGGTCCGGCTTTAATGTGCCGCGACGCGCATGTGTGGCTCATCAACCATATATGCCTACAATTTGTGTGACGCTCGGTGTGCCCACTGTCTCGTGTTAATGGATTGTTCTCTGGCTAACGCTATTCTTGGGAAAAATCTTTACGCCATTACTGATAATCAACTGAAATCGAATTACTCCTGTCACTAATATCACAACATAACTCGCGCGCAACGCTGCAATGCTGGTGTTCACGCTGGCATCCGGTGACTGGTTGGACTGTACATTAATGACCTAAACAACAATTAATGATAATGGACGATATGTGCCTAAAATTAACCCCGGTGTGCTTTATCTATGCCTACTAAATTACCCTCCGATACAACGGCTACTTTGATGTTACCTGTTGGGCTACCGCTGACGACGGCTGTCACTTCATGGTGATGTCGTTGTCGCGCGGATCTTCACTTCTACGTCTCAATGGTTTCGGTGGGTGTTGGTGCGTGTCTCCTTCTGGTGGTTTCGGTGCGCCGTTGTCTCGTTTTGTTGCATTTACGGTGGTGTCTGGATTTTTTCGTTTTCGCCATGACAATCGAATGGACGATGGTTCTGTACGGTGTGCGCGTTGCGCTGCGACGAAGCAGATTCGCGAAGAAACGATCGAGGAGGCGATGGAAGAGGCGGCAAAGCCCTTGAGCATTGCGTGGCCAGACACGTGGCGCGAGCGACTGAACTATGTGGCTCTCGCGCCGATCATCTTTCCGCTGTGGCTCACGCTCCCCGATGTGCGTCGAGAGGAGAAACGCAAATACGTCGCGGGATTGTTTCTCGGTGAGTTTACCTTACGCAAAACATACACCAATATGCACATACCCAATGTCGACTACATGCAGCACATATGAAGATGCTTAATACAAATAGGCCGTACGTACATTGAAGTTTCTGATAATCTATTCTTAGAAAAATAGTTCTTTTTAATATATCCAAAATCAAAAATCGAAACTAGCATATGTAGGTCTAGTTTAAGGTAAAAAAGGACGGAATTAACATTTGGAAGCTTCCCGTTTGTTAAAGTTGAACTCTTCGTAGCATAGCTCTCAATATATCTATATAAGTATAGCTAAGAAGTTCAATTCAATGTAATTATAGCATGTACACTTAGTTTACGAGAATTCAATGGTTTGGCTTTTGGAATACGATTTCAGCTATTCCGATCAGGTTGAGATACATCTCTCCACGCTTCTATAGATATGACCCTTAGTGTTATTTTTAAACTTTGTAATCTTAACGCATGGTCCCTGAAGGTCAAAACAACGAATCAACTTCAACGCTTAGCCTTTTTTCAAATGAGAAGAAACCCGTTTTACCCCCTAACGCTGGAACATATTGCCGTGCCTTTTTTATCTCTTGCACATTTGCGTCATCGACTACTGATCGCGTCATCGTCTGTATGTGAGCTTTACACGCGTTGACACAATGGAATTACAACAAAGAAAGCCATTTTATGAATGAGATTCATTGTTAAACAATAAATAGCAATAAGTTGCGGAGAAATCAACGGTAAACAGGTCCCACTTGCGCACGAGGGAAGCGGGATTGCCAGAAGGTATTGAGCGCTACATGAATCTATTGACGATTGTAAGAGACGTATTCTTTCCCGCTCTTCGGGAAACGGTGGCTCGCCATTTTCGTCTATTAAGGTTCAAGGCTAACACAGTATGATAATGTGATTCCAGTATTACGACAGGGTAAAACGACGTCAGTTGTATTGCAAGCGTCAATTAGGACAGTGATTCGAACAATGTTAGGTCGAGAAAGGAACGAACGCATCAAGTGATTGAAGGTGCCTGATTATAAAACGTTTATGTTGCAATGAGCAATCGCATATTTATCATAGCAGCATATTGTATCATCTATCATAATATCAGTAAAACTCGATGAAGTTCCTTTTACTCACCATTAAGTTCAAACTGTCCCGGATTCACCCTGCTTCAGGACAGTCCGGGCTTTTCATACAATGTGTAGCCAATTCAAGCTTATCGTAAACAGAGTACATACCTACTTGTACCTTTATATATGCCTGGTGACAAAGAGCTTTTCAATCCAGGCTTTATTGTTATGTGCCTTTACCTGCTATCCTAACGACGCAACGACTGCAGGCTTTTTCTGCTGTACTGCACCTTTCCCTGATCGAAAGCAAAGCGAACCGCATTGAGCGGAGAGGAACTTCATTAATGCAAATGCGAGGAATCGTTCGACAGCTGCTGATATGGCAATAGCAGACGGCACCGCATGCTACTATTCTAAGGAAGCTGGTGAGAGGCAGGAAGACTGAAAGAGACGATTCGAGGCTGTAACTCAGTCAGTAGCCGGAGAAACTGAGGGTTCAGGTTACGACAAAGTGGGGCGCATTGCACCACCTTCTAACTTGCTGCTTCTTCTATGTCAGGAAGCAGAAAGAAATCGATCTGATCTGCAGCCTTTCGTAGTCGTCTCCCTGCGTTGGCTGCTTAAAGCCGACCCGCCCTAGATTGACCTTGTCAACAGTCCGATAGTTGTGACTGAATGTGTAAAGGAACACTCGCAGCTATCTGTCGATGATCATATGCGACGTAAGTAGGATGGGAACGTAAACTCATCATAGCGGCTTCAAATTTTCCAAGCGCGTTAAGAATATTACCACTTCTCACGTCTGTACGGATGACAAGAACAAAGGAAGGAAAACAGTGGGAGACGCATCGGTTAGGGAAAAAGACGTTCGTGACCGAACGACGAACAGTACTGTTTGAACCTTTCCACCGTACACTATATCGTTCGATATTTCGTTCTTGGATGTAAACTCTGCTAGAAAATATCGATAGTTTAAACACTTATTACCGCACCTATTTTATTATGGTTAAGTATGACTCCCGCGTCTGTGATAGCTGAGCTCACTTTTCTGTTATTACTTGGGGGTAACCGGTATGGGGAATATTTCGAGCAAAGTAAGGACTTAGTCGATCAGCCACGTTGACACATCGTGTCTAACTTTGCTGACTATTAAGACATGAATAAGATATGACATCGAACCACTGATAATATTGACCGGAGCACACTGTTATCACTAGGCTCGGCCTGGGCGCAAACGTTATATTTCGGTGAGGTCGTTGACAGCGCAAAAGGTTAGAAGCAGCACAGGCTAGATAGAGCTATTCTGTTTGGTGCGATGATATGATAATCGCATAGATTTTCCTTATTTAATCTAGAAGAAAGCAGGATTCTTTGAACTGTTGCTTTATCTAGGTGGTTAAAAATCATAACTGCGAAAGACTGTAACAAATGTCAATGTACAATTTTTGCCAGGCTTATGCTATTTAAAAAACAGATTTATATTTCAGCGAGGTCGAAACGGGTTGCTGAAGTTTGAAGAACCTATAGGTAACCTCAGAGAAACACATTATATTAAGATGGATGAAAAACGCTACTAAATGTTAACCTAACACATTGTGTGTGAAATCTCTTTTAACGCCTATTAAGGTAAACAGGGTTGCATTGAATTTCTATAACAAATACTTAATTTTATTTACGTAAACAAGCGAAATTAACCAGAAGCGATGATGTCCAGATTCGGGCCGTGCGTAAGCCACTGGAAATGTTAATATTAATTTACATTTTATTTCTATATTCTTTATATTTTACTATTATCCTAATGATGCGTAATAGTGCCGATAGTTAGATAAGCATCTCCACAGAAAGTTCGTTCCCTTTGCGGCCCATTTTTAGCTCGCATATGAAACGCGCCTGTTCTCAATCGTTGTCGTAAAGCGTTTTCTATCGTAGTAAACCAGGATCTATCTTTACAATTCTTCAACAATTCCAAGATCGTGGTCCGATATTATTTCTAGAATCTCGCTGTATACTATTCCGTATAGATCAACCTTATATTTATGGGTAACCTAACGCATGCAAAGTTCACCTTGGAGTGCCCTGCTGTCCCGTATTCATCCCACATTGGAATATGCATACGTAACGAGTTAAAAAAACACGTATTATCACCAACGTATGCTACGATACGCGGTCGCCATACCTAATATTATTATAAGTCACGCATTTTGTTCACTGAACTGCTTTTTTGAATTTGCTGAGATTCAGGCTAATTTTAAGTGTATCTATACTTAAATTTAGTTCAACTGCCCATTGAATCCATTCATAAAATTTGCATGTTTCAACAATTTTCCATCGTCGACCCTAAATCATACCTCTGTACATCATTAGCACGTGTCGTGGTGCTTATATCGGGATCCAGGTGACTGAGCAGATCAGTATATTAAATCGTAATTAAATGGTCCTAAGTTTTAGGCGACTGGACGTTGCTTCCTTTCATGATGACAGGCTTTCGTTGACCTGTAGACGAAAGCTACAGTTTTACAGAAAAGCTATCCAGTTAATAAATGAGCCTTACTTTACGATTCGGTGAGATGTTCTACGATCCTTTGTGGTTGGCTGCCTCGAATACAGATTTGAATTAAGAACAATATGTTAGGCATCGGATAGTACCGAATCATCTTAGTATTCCTCAAGGCTGAATGCTGGTCAAAAATCCTGGTGAACTGCAACTCGTAGATGAAACCTTATTGATGCCTATCTTTGTAAATAGCCGTGTTAATGACACTTCCCATGCCCCTACACCGCTGATAGTTGAAAAATAACTTGTATAAGTTGCAGTGGAATTCCTATAGGTTGGAAAGATTACTGCGTAGTTAGATAAGCCACTTGAATGTAGGATAGAAGAGCTATCGACAGGGAAACCTAGCCATTTATAAGGCTCCCGCAGGACTCTCGCTAGGCATATTAGAGAGGTAATTTAGTCACTCGTACATATTCTCAATTGAGAAGTTCGCTTCGCTTCGACCTGCAAGATCATTTCGGCCAGGCATTTTCACTGTGACGAAGCTATTCATTCTACGGGTTCGTTAAACAAAAGAACTCGACAATATCTGCTTTTTGTTTGTAGTCAATTGCAAGAGTTCCACTCGCCTTCACGCAAACTCAAGTGTGTCCTTGACCTTTCTTCGATATGCTTCGACCTTTACATACGATTATCCTTGGGACTGCGTTCTAGTTCTTGGAATGTAAAAATACGCTCTCGGAAAAACTTTCCCTTTACCGAGTTAGGTATATTGATTTTTTTAGACACGAAATTAACTTCTTAATAGCACCCATTACATTTGATTTTGTTAATAAACGGGCGTTTAAAAGCAAACATTTCATTGGAGCATTTTTTATGGTTTTTCATATTATCTAGGCTAGTTGATTGGGCCAAAGCGAATCTAGTTTTGTTAAGGATCGTTCTTCTATAAGTTGGGTCGGGTTTATTCGTCCAACTATTACACGTTTAAAACGGAAACGTCGGTACAACGGTACAGTTATTAGACCACCGCATGATTATAATTAATTCTCTTTCTTTCTTTCTCTTTTTATATTTTAATCTTTTTGTGAATATACTTGCATGTAGTTGAATAGACCTGCTCATACAGGTCATGCGTATAGATACGCTACAAGTAATTAAATAATTCCCACTATTTTTCTCGAAATAGCAATAATAATATCTGACTTCAGTTGGTTTCAACGCCAGTAACGAATTTTTCTATGACTTATTCAGAAAACCTTTTGAGTATTCAGAAGTTGTTTTGGATTTGTTATTTCATTCGTCGTTTAGTCGCTGGCGTCTTCCATCTGGGTCTTCTGCCCCTGCCTCAATTCCATGCGTATCCCTCCCCATCGTATTGTGCAGTGGAAAGGAATGATGCTTTCATCTGCAAATGTCGGATACATCCGTGCTGAAAAGGGTT